AAGTACTTCCAAACATGGAAATAATTTCATATGCGAATTTTCGAGTATTTTCAAACCTGGCAGGTAAATATTTGTAAAATCCAGGCACGCCAACTTCACCGAATTTTGCCTTCAAATCTAAACCGCACTGGATCTCAATTACCTCCATTTGCATTTGATTAGGTACTGATTCTATATTTATTGAAAAAATCGAAGAAAACAAAGAAAACTTGTCTTCCAAAAATTTAAAATCTGCAAACCTTGTTTCAAATTCAGTTCTAAGGCTTAAAATTTTTTCTGCGTATTTTTGATAGGATGCAGTTTCACCTAAACTTGATTTGTTCATGTTGCATGTCGGAAAGTGCGTTAAATCTTCATTTTTCAACTGCTTTTCCCAAAGAACTAGCTTACATTTGAATGCTTTAACTTGGTCACACATGTTCGTAAGGCATATGGGAAATGGATGCAACACAATTATAGTAATCAGTCATTGGCGAACATTGTAGTTCGTTATTAATAATTATGTATAACAGGATATTGTAAAAATTAAGTTACGAAATTTTTATTAAAACGTTTCTTACATACCGTTATATTGGCTGGGCCGCAAAAATATTTGTTGTGGGCCGCATGCGGCCGCGAGTTTGACATGCTTGCACTAGACCCTTTTCCCTTTCTCTCAATGAAGTGGGGTTCACCATATAGTCTTTCTTCGGGCTGGTCACTGCATGGTCTACCTTGATCATCCTTGTGCATTCTGTCACTAATAACATTTTTTCATGCACTAGGGACTCCACAAGACTGTGAGTGAACTTCTTATGAATTAGTCTTCCTACTGTATTGTTCCTGAACCAAGAAATACTGCAAGTATAAGTTCACTGTAACCACGTCCAGAAGCCAAACAAACATGAGTTGACCCCTCCCATACATTTAGTGGGAGAGTAAGGGTGGGGGGAACCGCACACACAGAGATAGATAGATAGAGAGAGAGTGAGTGTCTGTATGTGCACACATGCATGTGCATGTATGGATCTGAGATGATGTTACTGTGCTGTCAGGAAATTTTTCATTGCTCTCCAGTCTATATATTCCAGAGTGTAACTGTGTCACATACCCTTCTTACCTGCTGCACAGTTTGAGGAAGTGCATGTGGAAGGATCTGTTGAGCCTGTTGTACACAGCTGTTGTTCTGCTTAGACTGCATCTTATTTGGTTTTGACCGTGATGCCTGAGCGCCCGGACTGGCCTGCGGTATGAGGCGCAGGATATTGCCTACTGCTTTAGTGCGTCCCTCACGGAAAACCTGTACAAAAGACATTGCATGTGAAGTGGCTAGTACACTGTCTTGATGCCTCATGCCTGTGCATTTCATGACTCTGAATAAAAGGATAGTGGCTAATTTTAAACTATTGTCCCAGAAGACTTTGGAGGGACAAGGGAAACCATAAAAGAAATCAATCATGATAGCCTGTCTCTAGACCAAACATCAAAACCAGGAACTCTGAAATATGAAGCAGATATGCTAGCCACTGCAGTACAACATTTAACATGGAGCATGACAGATCACAGGCACCTGATCGGCACGGCACCTGCAGGTCAAGAATCACTGTGACACAGAACTAATCATCTCAGGCAGAAACAACCTGAACACCAACATTTTGAGTCACTGCAGTCATATTCACTGACAGGAAAAGATGCTGGATATTTCATTTGCAATGACATTTCATTATCAGGCGGCAAGAAGGTTGGCTTGTGTGCTGAATGGAAGGTGCAGACCAATCTACATCTATAAACACAGTGTGTACACTCAATGAATGACATTGTAGCATGTCTTATAGTCGTAGTAGTAGTACTATCAGTGGCACTGACATTCACATTGGAGGCAGTGGTGGTAGTTGTATTAGCTTCATTGACATGTCAATTGCTATGGTTGTTTCCAGCTTTTAACTAGTCACAACACACATTCACAGTATGGTAAGAAGTTCACCTAACAGAGTTACAAAATGTACAAGGATAAAACTCATGTTAAAATACCAGGTTCATCACCCAGCCTATCACTGATGGTGTGTGGCAGGCAAACCTCTCACACATTACAGTATACCTTGTGCAGTCTAACAAGATGTCTTCCAATGAGTTACACATTACGTGGAGCATACAGAGGGGTAGGTTCATAAAGAGAAGACAGCTGTATGCGAGATTGGTGTGGCCAACTCACAGGTAAGTCACCCTGACCTCATCACAGTGGATGATGGAATAAAATTCCTATGAGAGTACCACTTGTGTTACTTCTCACAACTAATTACCATGGGTGTAGTAACACTTCCATTGCCAACTGGCAAAAATATGCTGATGAAGCCTTGCTGCAGCCTCATTGCAACCTGTACCTACAAAATCTGATATCCAAGCCAAATATGACTTCGACTTTTGGGTGATATTGGATATTTGGTGTTAACCAACGTTTTGGAAAACAATGGAGTTGCCTTTTTCAAGGTGGATGAGGTGAGGTCATTTCAGAAGGCCTTATATAGGGCAGGCAGTAGGTGTGAGATGAATTCGCTGGTGCTGATTGGTGGAGTAGAGGAGCTTGCTGCTATCTAATAGGAGAGGAGCATATGGTTGAGGAAAGGAGGTGACAGGAAAATTCGGAGGCGATGGTGAGGAGGTCTTGGTGACCACGATGGAAAGGATTTGCAGTGATTAAGTGGATGGGAGTGGCAGCTTTTCATTATCTATATGGTTGGGAAAGGTGAAAGTGGACCTGCCCTTTTGAGGGACCAGGCAGGTTGATCATTTGGGGGTAAACGGATGTAGCCAGGTTTCTCTTAGCTTGTAGCTATCTTCGCAGTTAAAATCGCCTGAATGTTTGGATATCTCTATTGCCTCCCCAATTATGCAGGGACAGTAGCTCTTAATGTTGGAAATGACGTTATTCTGTTAAAGTCGATGCTGTGTCTGGTGGCTGCTCATTGACCTTGAAAATGGTAAGTGTAATATTTGCCAAAAGGATGGTTAACACCAAGCATGTGATGTGGCTCTCACCTGTAAGCTGAAGTTATTATTCAGTGAACTTGAGCTGTGTAAATCTATGGACAAGAACACATGCTAATGTTATTCTGAAATCCATTTTAGAGATTGCATCGCTCTAAGACAACTGGGTGGGTAAAATCAAGGGAATATAAGCTCTGAATAGTCGTCAGAGGGTCTGGACAGAAATGTCCCTGTGGGATGGTTACAGACAGTCACAAGTGTTTTACAGATCACAGATAACTTTGTAGTAAAATCTGAACTAAAGGAGAATGCAACAACTGAACCACATATCTGAAAGTCTTGATATCAATATACAGAAATTTCATTACTTATACGAGGCTCGTCCACAAAGTAAGTTTCCCTGGGGCCGTTTACAGAAACAAAACACAATTTCATGGAAATATTTATTGCAACAGATACAGCAAGTGTCCAGCTATTTTTCAACAGATTCGCCACCGGAATTGAGACATTTGTCATACCGTGGGACCAACTTTTGAATACCTGTGTCGTAGAAGTCTGCCGCCTGGGATTGGAACCACTGTGTGACAACCATCTCCGCCTCTCTTTCATTCTCAAAACGCTGACGCTGACGCTGACCGGACAGGAATTTCTTGAGGTGTAGGAAAAGATGGAAATCACTGGGAGCGAGGTCCGGGCTGTAGGGTGAATGATTAAACACCTCCCAGCTGAACTCCTGCAGGAGACTTGCTGTCCGTCGAGCCGTGTGTGGCCTAGCGTTATCACTGACCGCACTTCACAGTCGGCGGGAGCTGGGATAAGAACCTCCATCTTCAACAGCTTCCACGATGCTACTGTGAGAACGCGGGAAGTGCCGTTAGTGCATGCGCCATGCTACGTCATTGCTCTATCACGTACGCACAGTCGCTTCGCGCAATATAAGGTTTGCTAGCTGTGGGACGAGTGGGAAACTTACTTTTGGGACGCGCCTCGTACAATGTGAAAAGAGGTTAAATGGCGGAAATGAAAGAGTATTTCAAAATGTTATTTTAAAACAAAGCCTCCTTTTCCTGCTGTATTTTGTACATGTTTCCTCATGTGGTCTGACCAGTGACACCCTCATAATGCATGTGTGCACTATTGTAGACATAATTTATTAGGTTCCATGTAATTTTGCTGCCTGTCTAAAATAAGCTTAGTATAACTTCCCACAATATTGTGTTACCATTCTTTGGCCTGCCTTGATGTATTCAGGATGTTTGATGAAGCGGAAGTGAACAAGTGCTTTGTCCCCTGTGCGCAGACATTCTTGTGACATGGACAGAATGGATGCTGTTTGACGGATACTGCCACAGTGTACTGAAAGAGAAGAGGTCTCTATTACATTCAGAACACTGCATGGTGATACTATGCTTCAATCTGATACGTAAGAGAAGAGAGCAAAAATGTAAATAAACAAGGCACAGTAAAGCATGAGGAAGGAAAACACTGTGCTTCCATTTTACAAAGGAAGTGCTGATGGTGATTAAAACATACTGAAAAAGGAATTAATTGATAAGTTATGACAACATGACAGATAGTTGCAGGGTGGCTACAGTCTGACCCATTGGCAGGCCAACACACAAATTTCCCAAAAACAGGTACAAGAATTTTTAATGTACATGTAACAGTATATTGACTTCACTCCAATAAATTCAAATGTACAAACTCTAGTACACTGTTATGAGATATTAATGCAATTCATTTCCTTACTTACTCCTTCATTGTGGAGTTTCTAATAACGTGAGGTGTGCTAGCAGCCAGTTTATATGGAACTTGCATTAATGTGAGTTAAAATGTTACAGTGCAGCAGACCTTGTATTTATGCAGCAATCATCTTCTATGCAAGGTTAAACTTATGGGATGTATCAACACGCACACACACACATATCTTTCGTTTGGTCATTTTCAGATCCGATCTTATACTATGTGATACTATGATCTTACCTCATAAAGACAAAGTTTATTACATTCGTTTATCATAAAAAGTGCATTAGTTACAAATTTGTTAACATAGTTAAAACTATTAAAATGTTCTGCAGCTGCTGGTATTTAAATTCTGGGCAGCTGCATAGTATAACCAATTAAATACCTAGGTACTTTAAGGGTTAATGTCAATGACACTTTCTAGATCCTCACTTCCAATTGAATAGCATCTTGCTCTGACAGATGCCATATTCCATTTGCTTTGTACTGCCTGCCCTACATAAGAGTTCCAAAAATGCCCAACCAACACATATTCACACTGAAGATTGCAACTGCAATGTATGACAACATTCAACATAACTCATCCACAAAAGCCAAAGTTTTACACTGAGAATGAGCCGTGAAAACCAAAGGTCAAGAACTGCAAATGTGTATTTTGTAATAATGCTAGTCTCCTACCCTAGTAACTTGCCTATGAAAAATATTATGAAAAATATTATGAAAAATAATATATGTCCAAGTGGAGTATAGTGTTCATATTCATTTTGCTGTTGGACCTAGTACCATGTCTTAGAAATATTATTAACATTAATTCATGTTTTCTTCAAAATAGGCAAACATATTGGTGTTCTTACTTTATAAATGTGTGGCATAAATAACTATTTCATGGAATATATGAACAGATACTTGTTGTTTATTTATGACTGGAATTATGACACTAGCTGCTGTATGATTACATCGCTTCCAGTTTCTGACTTAGAACATTTTAAGCACTTGAATTTTGTTGCATAGCAAGTACAACCTTAAAATATACGAGATTTGAAGTTCTCATGGTGGTAAAAATATTCATGTTGGTCTTCTGGGTCATGATACCTACAAGTCCACAGTCCACAAAGCATTACAGCCCTGAAGACCAACACACAAGTTTAAACATATAGCTTGCCAGGTAAAAGTGATTCAGGGTACTGCTAATAGATTTTATAAACTCATTTCAAAGATTTCTTTTTTCTGATAAAATTTTGAACAAAAAAAACACTAATTTTTCAGTACTGTGTCCCACAATGGCTATACAGAATCATGAAAAAGGCTTAGACATAACTGGTTATTAGAACAAACACAATAAATGACAAAAGAATCACACTCATCTTCTCATAGTGGCAATCTTTTCTTATGTCAACATTGCATACTGTCTACCAGCCAAGCAACTGCACCATAACTGTTGACTGAACCTTCCTGTACATGTATTTTGTCAGAGAACACCCTTCCACTCTCTTTACTAAAAATATGATGATTCCATGTGCAATTGATATTAACACAATTTTTTCAGGATATGAAAATAGTAATTAAAATGATAATAAGCAATATGAATTTCATGTACAGCTTTGAAACTAAGGTCCCAGTAGCCCAAACTACCCTCAGCATTAATTAATTCCTGAAAAATCCCATTATTCAATTTAATTCTTTGTTATTAGTGTGCTACATCAACAGGCAAAAGGCCAATTACAGATACAGCACAAGAACACAATAATAAATACAGAAAGGTAACAAGAAGGAGATTATCAAAAAATTACATGAGTGTAGAGGACATTTATACATAAAGGCAACTTGCTACTGAATACATCAACAGATTTGTAATAATAGTTAAAATAAATTAAGTAAATTAGATTAAAATGAGAAAATATATAGAACAAACACAGTACTACATCTTAGAATAATGAATTATTATTTAGAAACAATTAAACTTACCCATGGCTTGGTACCGAGAACTAATTGTTGTTGGATGATGGAGAACCAGGATCTCGCCTTCAAATTCCCAACAAGCACTAGGATTTACTGCTGGTGATACCATCACCATTCCCTTTCTAATTTGTGACCTCTTGATCTGAAAGAAGAAATGAAAAATAATATACAAATACATTAATATTCACACAAACAATACATCACAGCACCAGTTAAAATGAAAGGAAAACTGAAAACATTAGTATAGGAATCATATAAATATTGTTTGAGAGAAATTTTTTCATTATTCTACAATAGGAGTAACTTACAACTCAGAAAAAAATTATTCTGATGGAAAAGCAAGTCAACTAATGCACCTGGAGATAATAATGCTGTTGCTATTCCAGAACAATGTATAAACATTGCCTCATTAATCAGGGAAGAGTCTCAGCACAGCCTGTCATTGGTTCTACATATGACATTAATAAAGAATATTATGCCCAAAAAGTGATGATGTCCATCATATCACTGAAGACGTTCTGAACAGTCTTGATGGACATTTCAAAACTTATCTAAATGTACATTCTATAGACTGAAAAGATGAAGGAAGTTATTTCCCAGTGCAGCCCAGTCCAATTCACAAATAAATAAAGACAAGGTGAGTAAGGACAAGACAAGCCACGATCAATTGTACAGAGTAGGTTAAAATTTGTTTCACATTTTTAAGGGCTTGCAAAAGCTTACCATTATTACCACTGTATTTTTTTTGGGAGGGGGGGGATTAATTTATATTTGGGCAGTCTTTTTATTTTTGTATGACAAAGAACAAAGTAACACTGTAAGATAGGTAAAAACTTTAAGTTTAGTGGATACAGTCTGACCACATCATATAAATATGGCTACCACCGGTGATACAGCATTTATCCCAGCAATAATCTATCTCTTCCCATGCTATCTGCAACATGTCTGATATAATTATTGCAACCGCTATAGTAATCCTGTCCTTTAATTCTTAAAGATGAGTTGGTAATGGTGGGTGGCATACATGATCCTTGATAAACCCCCATAGGTCAAAGTCCACTGAAGTGATGTCTCATAAGCAATGAGGCCATGAAACTAGAACAGGTCATCCCATCCATTGACCTGGGAATGGGAGATCCAAAAAATCTTGCACATTTGCATGGAAGTGATTTGGTGCACTATCTTGTTGGAAGACTACATTTATGTGAGGATCATTCTTGGTAATTTGGGGGAGTTAACTGGCATGTCGAGGTACACAGTACCAATGATGTTTTTTATATGAGAAAGGATGGATCATAAACTTTCATTCAACTTACAGCACGAAACACACTGACTTTGGGGCTGTCCTTTACATGTTTCAGAATCAGAATCATATGGGGTGGGCTGCTCGCATCTCCATGAGAAGGCTCCCTACCAAACCAGGATTGACAGAAATAGCAGAACTGGGCACGAACAAGAAATGTGAGGGAAACTTGAGGTTGAAATCTACGTATATTCCCCAGGCAATTTACTATGTTTAACATAGGTTCATGATTCCATAAGTTTGATGCTGCTTTTGGCTTACACTGTATTATTTAATTGCTGAACATATCTTAAATTAGAAGGAGACATATACTAATAGACACAGAATATGGTCATAGACACAGTGCACCATTTAAAATGCATACCAACAACAATGACATACTATTGAACAAAAGTGCAACAGACTATTCCAACCTCTTTCATGACAATCAAGTCAAGGATACTGTGTGCTAGGCTGCTGATGCCAGTCGTGAGAAAGCTATACAGGTGTGAACATGGTGTATTCACAAGCAGAAATGGTTTTTATCCTCAAACATTACTTCACATTAGAACCATCTGCTGGTGTTTGGGAAGCATTTAGCAATGTGTATCCTGACAAGGAAGAACCAAATACAACAATAATACACTAACTGGAAACTAAATTTCAGGACACATGAAGTGTTTATCTGTCATACATGCTTATCGAGCCACAAAATGGCTAAAATTATGGCTGTACTGATTTCAAGCAGTTCTTACGCTGAAACAATCGGATACAGCTGCAAGAATTCAATAGTGCCATTGCTTTTGCTGTCTTGTCTATGAAGGGGTTCATGTATGTGTCACATAAAACATTCTGTATATCAAGGGACCTTCCTGTAACATGAACTCAAGCAGTTTAGGCCCATATACTGTCACTATACTATGTGTATATCAAGGGTTCATTTGGGATAATCCTGTTGGTTTCATGTTTCATTGCGCTTGGATAGCTTCCAGACATTTAACAAATTCAAATTTGATTATAAATGCTAACTTCACGCATTTACATGCAAACATGATCCATATTCACGGAATGGAACAATACAATGAAACAAAAGACTGTTTACTCATGCAAGACCTACTAATATGCTTCAATACAATGTGACAAACAGATTACATCTTAACATTCAATAATGGTAACCCAAAAATAATGTAAATTTGCAGCTTTCGAAGTTTGACATACAAAAAGTCTGCTTTTCCTGACATCAGAGTGAAGTTAGCTATCAACTATGCGGTCACTGTAAGTGCTTCTGTTTGCTCAAAGTTTCAATAAATGTGCAACATTCTACAGTATACCTTTTGATGGCTCCTTATAGCATAATATAATCAGTATATGTATTCTGGCTTCCCAGACGTGTTCATATTAACAGGACAAGAAGTTTGCAAAGGAACTTATGATGATGATTACTCTCCTTCACAAGCTTCCATCTATATAGTTCAGTTAGCAAGAAGTATGAATTAACGATCATTCATTTTATCAAATGATTTCTGTACATAAATTTCACAAATGCAGATTCTGTGTTAAACTGTAAGCTTTAGTCTCCATGCTTCATACTAACACCATGTTTGTAATTGTTAACACATAACAATGTTTCCCTAGAAGGTTTAGATATGCTTATAATCTAGTGCTGTGTCATAAGTTATCACCATCTGAGCTGAAAGATAAATCTAGATTTTGCGTGGCCACTAATTGATTTACTTTCGAGGCTGAACTCATACAAACAGAAGGCAATATACTACATTCAGAGATAAACAAATTTATTACTTCCATTTAGAGTAAGGAAGAACCTCCACATCAGTATAAATAACATATTACTGTTTCTATTCGTAAGAAGGCTGATAAAACTAAATGTATTAATTATTGGGGAATATCACTGTTATCAAATACTTGTATGTAAAAAGTGTTACTCATAATTTTTCGGTTAAGGTTAATTCCATACAAAGACAAAATTATTGGGGATCATCATTGCAGATTTCAAAGTAATCAACCGAATAATAATAATATTTTCTGAAATTGTCACGTACTGGAGAAAAAAGGGAGTACAATGATTCAGTACAATATGTTCAATGAAAATCAGCACTTGAAATTGACGAAGTCAGAAACCTAAAGTGATGTATGCACACATCTGGTATCATAATTCCAGTTATTCATGTCCTTGCATTTGTCCATTTGCGGCTTTTCACTAAATCCAATCAATTACATCTATTTATGCCAGGTGTCTATTGAGCAGAGCAACAATATGTCTGCCTAATTTGAAGAATGTGAATTGTTGTTAACCTTTAATGAAAAGCATTTAAATTCCCTATTTACTCAGATGGCCAAAATATTTCAGCATTTAAATGGAAGAAAATTATTAAATACATTGTAGTCTATTCACTGCAGTTTTTAATCTACAATTTTCGATTAAAATGTAGGCTATTAGGAATGAATCAACTGTAGTTAAACTGAGTTTAAAAATAAAAAGCCTCAGAGCACAGTTTGCATACATTTTTATTTCATCCCATATTTCTTTCTCCAGGCTATAAGCATTGTGTCACTGCCTGAAGAGAGACCCAAGTGTCATGAAATAGTTACAATCACTATACAAGTAGCAATTTTCAACTGAAATGCAGATCAATGATGTTCTTTCTCAGTGCAAGATGGCTTTGAAGAGAAAACTTCAAGATGAGGACAAAGACAGCACAGGAACTGATTTCAGACTATGACTCTGATGCCCACATTTAAGGAGAAATGGCATTTCTCCTTAAAGTGATACTGAAGATAACAAAAGGAAAGAAAAAGGCTGTGAAGACTGGACTGACACCATACAATACTGACTTTCTGCACCTCTGACACACAAGTTGTTGAGACAATATGAGGCATCCCACACAAGCAAAGACACATCGCCACTGAGAGTTTTCATGTTGTTGTTCTTCAAAATTATGGAACTGTAGGTGGATGAGACAAACAAATATTACCATCAGTACTTAGGCACACTTGATGAAGGACAGTGCCCACTGCCTGATGTGACGATATAGTAAATGTACTTTTTCTTACGTATTATTCTTCAAATGGGTAATGACAAGACACAGACTGAAGGACTATTGGTCCACACTAAAAGTTATTTATGGCCTTTTATGGAAACACAATGAAATGAGACAGATTCTTTCATATACTGAGATTTCTGCATTTTAGTGACAACAGAAACAAATCTGATATAACAGATGAAAGTTGTGATAGGTTGTGCAAAAAAATAAATATTTTTGATAAACTCTGTGAGGCATGTAGCACAATGGGGCACAAGGGAAATGCATACATAATTTTGCTCAGAGAAGCCTGAAGGGAAGAGACCACTTGGAAAACCTTGGTGTGGACAGGAGGATAATATTAAAATTGATACATAAAGTTGGAAGTGTAAACTAAATTGACGTGGTTTAGGATAGGTAGAAGTAGAGGACTCTTGCAAACACAATAACAATATTAAAGATTCCATAAACGGCAGGGGGTGTGTTGACTATCCAAGGGTACAATTATCTTCTCAAGGAGGACTCTGCTCCACCAGGTTAGTTAATTAGTATGTTTTTCACATTCTACAAAAATACCACCCCAACATTATTACTGCAGCATCCAATTATATTCAAATGTCCATTAATTACTGTATACTGTGAAATTCAAATTTAGACCACATCAAAGAACATTCTTCTCCATTTTCTGTAACTCTATTGCCTGATGTAAAGAAAGACAGTCTTGTTGGTATGCATAGTGCCACCTATATTGATGTCTGTAAAATTTCAGCAATTATAAGATTGTAAGAAAGAGTTCTATATATAAAATACTGAGTATTTGATTTGTGTGTTTGAATTTTACTGATTTTTTTATTCATTACATACATAACAGCCTAATGCTCACAATGATATATTTCTAACTCAAAATATATTCTTTCAGGACAGATAATGGTACAGCTAAAGGACCATGCAGTTAGAATACACCACACTGACCTTCTTCAGAGCAAATGAGGCAGTCTGGCCTCCTCGAACTTCTCGAACAACCATGCGTTTCCTATGGATGCTCTTCACTGCAATTGGTATGAAGTGTCCTAGTGCATCAGGTCCAAGAAGGAGGGTGTCATTCAAACGAATCACACCCTTCAGGGTTGTTCCTGACACTACCGTTCCTACACCCTGTGTAAAACAAGAAATTGCAGACTTCATTTAGATGACAGAATCTTCAGTAAATGCTGAGCTGAGTAAGTCAGGTAGCAAGCAGTGAATCAATGGCGGGAATCCTAAATGTGGGCAGCACGTTCAGTTTATACTTACATATTTTCTGTATTTTGAGCCATAACAATTCTCAATTCATAATTTAAAAGCACCCCACTGCCATACACATTCACTATCTCTCTTCTTCTTCTTCTTCAGCCTTCCACAGATCAGGTTGCAAACAGTTCAGACTTCTCAGCTCCATTCTGATTCCTCTGTATCCATTCGATTTGAAATAAAGTGAAACTTCTTAGAATCTGGTTAAGTAGGTAAACACTTCCTATCAGTAATAATGTATTCTTCTGTAAACTGAATAAATATTTATCTCCTTAATACTTCATATATGTAGAATCTAAAGCCATATCTGTACCCTGGAATCATGCTTCTGTTTCTGTGCACTGGGCTTGGGACTATACTAAGCAACCCACCCTTCCTTTCTGTCAAGTGCAGCAGAATACAGTTTCCATAGAAACTTTAATGTATTTGTGAAATGTCAATAGATTCACCCTAATACAGGGCATGGATTCACTCACAGGTACTGAGTAGGTGTCATCTATTTGGAACTCAGCTGGCTCATCATCTCGGCTCACCATTCTTGCGGTCAGAAGGTTGAGAAATATTTTCAGAAGGTTCAGATTCTCTCCAGTCACATTGGAAACTTGAAATATTGGACAGAGCCTGCATAACATACAGACATGTGCTGTCAGCACACAATGAAATGTATCTGGACATTGAGACAAGAACAAAGCTCAAACAGAATAAAATTAACATGCAGACCTACTCGAGACAGGCCACACCATGGTTACTGGCACATACTGTCTATTTAATGACATAATTTTTTATTCATTGTGAGTTTCAGAATAAACAACCATAGGGTGGCCAAGGATTAGGCAGGCAGAGAAAGTAAGAGGTACAAAAACATGAGAATGGTCAGACAGCACAGGATAGTTTCCAGTTAATAGTACTACATTCTGAAAGTACTAGAAATATGAACTATTCAAATTTTAAAAGTACAGCTGTTGTTCCTCTGAACACCTTGTAAATGCTACAATGTTTAAAAATCAACAGAAATGACCAATATTGAGTAAACTGACTTACAAAGGATTAAGAAGTGAGCAACAACTGTGAAATACATGGGAGGATCTTAGTAAAAAGTAAGTCTTTCATACACTTTCCTCACAAGTTTTCACAGAAGAAATACCAGATACTAACAATATAAGTTGTTCACATTTTCCAAAAAAACTTTCTTATACTCATAGACACTTACTTCACAAACAGTAGTGCCACATACTGGAATTAGTTCCATAGATTCTTTTGTAAGAACTAAATTTGACTTAGAACCAGAAAGAAACACTGCAAATTGAGCAGTAACTATGACATCTGTGCTATCAACAACTGCTATTGAGTAAGGTTGAAATTTTCTACTAAGTATATATAATTGACGTATCAAGTCACTCACACGGCCACTTATGCATTCAACCACTGCATTCCTTGTCACACTGACAGTGTAGCAGGGATCAGAATTGCCACAGTTTCAATAAAGTGTTTTTGAATAAATGTCTTCTGTGAAAGGTATGGAGATGTTGCAATGAAATGAGACAATATGTTACTTGTTTTCACAGCTAATCTGCTTGCTTTATTATCTGCACGAAAAGCATTCTGCCACTGCTTAATGTAAATTCTAACTTTCAAATTACAAGTTTGTCACAATGCCATCCTGTGTTTCACTTCTTACAAATGCTGTTTATTAGCTGATCAGATGAGACATGTGATACTGCATGTCCCACTTGCCCTAAAACACTTGTCCCTGTTCTCATATTTTGTGCCTTCTACTTTAGTACAACTGTGTTAAAAACATTATTTGGGGCACAAAACACATCACAAGCCACCAAAAAATGACTACAGTCTGACTAGCACTGAAATAAATGGCTCAACAACGGAAGCATTGGCTTCAGCAGAACAATGTTTTTTAAGTTTAAAATTATGAAGAGTTGAGGACAGCCACAGCTAAAGAGAGGCTAGTGAACTGATCTCTCTCCATCAAGTAGTAGCATCTAGCATTGACTACAGTGATCTCATGGCACAGTTTGTAGCCAAGAAACTGAGAAAGGTGGATTTTGTAGAAGCAGCAGAATCATGTTGAGTGAGATACATTTTAAAGAATATTAAAGTATATACTATTTAAGAAGTTTATAGCTTGGCATCGTTAATATTAAAGATACGTTCCTTCTACAAATCTTTAGGACGACTCCAAACAGACTCCTTTGCCTGGGCCTCACAACCCTCTAGGAACAACGCTGAACATGGAAATGCATGTTCCATGTGCAAAAAATGCAGGTGAAGAAACAAGAGCAGGCTGGCTGGACAAAGTCAAAACTTTGCCAGACCAATAGATGACAGGGTGAGGATAGAGGTGAGAACAGACTGAGTAACACAGCCAATGGCAGAGTTTGGGTATAATACCTTAACTGTGGAGGGGGGAAGGAGTAAGAGACAGAACAATGGAAGTAGACAGGAAAATATATAGTGTGGAATGAGGATGGAAAGGAAAGGAATGGAGGGAAGAAAAATAAAACAAATAAGAATAAAATTAAAATAATACCAGACACAATAGAAATACAAATATACGTAAGGCACGCAAGGGAAGGGAAGACGCAGTTATTATTAGCACCCAAAAATGGAAGCAAAGGAAGTACAAGGCAAATGATATATACCTAAATGGATACTGGAGATGCAGATAACAGCCAAACATGCAAGGAAGGAAAGAAACAGCCCTTATCAGGGCTGCCAGGGTCCAACATATAGGACCACAGTAGACAAATAAGATGAAGAACAAAGTGAACAGTTAAAATAAAGGGTGCAATAGAAATTGAAAGGGAGAGCAGGAGAAATGGAATTGACAGCAGAACAGGATAAGACATCCAATAAAATAAATGGATAATGGGGGATGCACAGATAATGCCTTACATGCAAGGAAAGGCAGAAAACTGCCCTTGTCAGGACTCGCAGGAGACCCACAGGAAGACCACAGAACAGCAGGAAATGTCTGTAAATCTGTACGAGACTATATGGCGCAACATCCAAGATAATCATATTCATTGCTGTAAAAACCTGAAATCTCATGTGACTAGAACTAAATCCTTCAGATTTTACAATGATGTACAGTGGTAAACATTCACAACTGATATATTTTGTAATGAATATCAATTAAACCTCACCTTTCAGATACAAAATTAGTAGCACTGATGACCACATCATCACTGGATTTAACCATAACAGGTACCTTCCTACAGCCAGGGGATTTCAGTATTCGCATCAGAAGTCTCAGTGTGTCCTGCAGTACATTTGGTGGGCACATGTCAATTTTTGTTACCACCACAAACACAGGCACACTCAGCGCAAGAGCAAGTCCCAGGTGTTCCTTTGTCATGCCCACTATACCTGCATTTGCACCCACCTGTAACATTACAACTATATTACTAAAATTGTCCTGAAAATAACAGCCTAGGACTTCAGGATCTCTTTCTTCACTAAAATGAAATGAATTATGAAATGCATGCATAATATACCACAGTAGCTCAGTCAGAACAGTGACAATGGATTGGATGCCCGGGTTTCGATTCCAGACAGCAATCACAGGCAGCGCCTCCAGAGAAAAATTTGTTTAAAATTAATGACAAGATTGCAATATTTTGGTAATTTTTTCTATCTGATTGATGTCAGTAAGAAATAATTAGTTAAGAGCTGGGGAAGCTCAGTCAGTATAGTGATTGACTATAGACTGTACGACTGGGGTTCAATCGATGACAGGGGCCAAGAATTTTTCCTCTAGCCTCTGTATCCAGACCAGCTCTGAGGTCCACCCAGCCTCCTGTCCAATGGGTAATGGGGTCCTTTCCTGGGGTTAAAACACATGATGTTGATCACACCCCGGCTCTCCCACCAAGTGCCTATATACCATGTAGTGGTATTTTATTATTTATTCAGTGTTCTGTCTGATGACAGGTCCATATGAACAGGACCCTTCCATCCTTCTCTCGGACTGGGACCTGTTCATATACGTTCTTGGCAGATGATCCAGAAGTGGTTTGCCATTGCCTTCTTCTGTGTGTGAATTGAGTAATTGTTGGGATGCCACGGAGAAACCGGGGAAGCCCCCGGAGGAAAACTCCGTGTTGCCTAGACCACGGCCTTGCCCGACACAAGTTATAAATTCGGGCACCGCCGGGAATCGAACCCGAGACTTATGAATCACATACATTCCATATAATTCTAATAAATAAATCTGTATATCTAACTTGTCAACCACTATACTGTGAGCAAATTACACATAAAACAAACGAAAATGCGTAACTGGTAATAGTTTCTTAAGTGTTTAGTGGTGAAAAAAAAAGTCATAACACACAAAATCAAACTCAGGAACCCAGAAGTGGGGGTTTTCAAGAACACATCAAACCTGAATTATTTAAATGTGGTTGTATCATGTGATTTCTTAGTTCATTTTCTATAAATTTAAGTTCTGACAAGTGTTTGCCACTTGCATCTTGCATTTGTAACCATTATGGAAAGAAAAATTTGCATGAAATTTCAAAATTTGTAAAAACTGAAAAAAAGTTTTCATTGTACATATATGTATATATTTTTTAAACGTTGATGCTTTCTTCTTCTTTCACTGCATCTTCAACACTTTTTAATTCCATCATAAATTTCATACTCAACTTAATATATGAATTTAAATGAAGGTGCTTGAAAGTTCCTCACTGTTGAGATCTTTGTTGTAGAAATCAGAATTTCACACTGATCCATAACAAGAAAGCTTTACAAAAAGCTGAATTTTTCAAATATCTCTTCATATTCCATACTGTTTCTCAAAGTCACTTACAAGACAGGTATATAGATTTCTACTTTAAATTCCCTGCTGCCTTGAAGTATGTCATTTGTATTTCTACCACAAACTGAAAAAACTATAGTGCTGCTGCACTGTCTTATGTTTATTGGCATCTTGGTAGTTATCAATACGACATTTTCCCTTTGCTTGGAATTCATACTCTTCAAAATAACCTGTTTTCTCGATTATATACACCATTAATGACTTTATTAATTTAACAGTGACCAACAAGTTCATATTCTACTTCCGCTGAACTTGCAGTTAATACGGATCAATATGTCACTCCAAAAAACAGTTAAGGAAGTTGTTTCCAATTCATCCATTTTCTGTCTTGACCTCTGTGCAATGAGGCATGTTTCTGAAGAATAGTTTTGTATCATTTAGTAAGGCATCCAAACTCTTAATCTCTATATACCCACCATTTAAGGCAGTTACTGAATCTGCATGTGCAGAAAAATTAGTTTTTGATAAATATTTTACTACTTTAAGGTGGGGACTTACATGTGAAACCATACTTCCCAATGATGTGTTGATAAAGAAAAGAACTTGTAGAGATTTTGGACAAAATTAACATAAATTGTAACAGTTAAGTTACAATCTACTGCCTGAACACCATCTAAGTTTATAAAATGTTCATTAATGAGATGTTACTACCTATGAAAAATGAGGTAACACCCGCAACTTTGTCAAAAAACTGCAAAAATTTCTCTTTTGAACAGCATTCTTTACACATCATAAGATAAATCCTAACTAATCAACATGTGTTACATCTGATGTAGAAATCACAGAAACAAAAAAATTTACTTTCTGTATTAAAGTGACAACAGATGCCAACACTTTTTATCCCACAAGATCTATAAAATCTGCACAAATCATGACAATGTATGATGGGATTCCCTTTCCAGCATTACCATACTTTTTTATGTGTTTGCACACACAGTTCCATAATGACCAAATAACTTATTTCTTACTGTGTAAAAATGTCTTGGTTGTCCCCTCTTGACACTAAAAATTCAATGACCACCATGATTCGTTTTAGCACTTCCTTATATTAGTGATAATCATTGTTAAATTGAATTGCCAATTGTGTATCTGCATGTCCAGATACCTTCAGGTGGCTGTAGTAAGTCATCATGCATTTCCTATGCTCCTGTCCATTTTCATTATGCAAAGTGGCCTTAAACATGTGCTTTCAGTCATTAAATCTGTTTGTGTTAAATGCAAAATCAGTATGTAAAAATAATTTGCACATAAAACAGTACACTCTTCCCTGGGATGGGAAATAAATAAGCCTTCCACTACCTGCAACCTCTGCACTGGATGTTGCTTCTTTATTTGTATCAAAGGACATGCTGTTTCCCTCATTCACAATACAAAGGAAACTATAAAGGAAAATGTGCATTGCACTTCAGTGACACAATGGGAGAGGCGGAGTGAAAACAACAGAAGAACGTTCTGAACAGAGCCACACAAAACCTTCAAGTGACAAGGAAACACAGCTGCAGATATTACATTCAACAATAAAAGAACAAAATTTCTAAAATTAGTTTATGAATGTTCAAATTTGGAAAAAGGAATTGAAAAACTCTTTAATAACACAGGGGAAACCTTAAAACAAACAGCTGCTAATTTTCAATGGCTCTTGATAGCAATTTTATGAAAGCAGTGATGTGAGCAACACTGCACAACTTGCTGTTCTGAAAACAAGATAGTAACTAAATGCATTAATGCCAATGAAACAAGCAGCTAGAAGTGCACATTTCAATAAAGAAATCAACAGAATGTTACAAGAGCTGAATATTTCATTTCAAAAAACTAGTTGAAGTAGTGATGAATGGGACAGTCTATATGTACTACCAAAGAAAAAAAACACTGTGGGATGCAATTTAATTACATGCCATAATTGAGACACATCAGGAAGATCCACCAATATGACCAATATTGGCAGTCACTGCAGAACTACTTATGCCTATAGGAATGAATAATTGTCAAGATTTTTGAATGACATGTGATCTAATATGGAGATGTTCTCTACTATAAAGAAATTTGTTGGTTGAGTGAAGAAAGTATATGACTAATTGAATTCAGGACACTCATGTTTCACTTCTTCAAGACACCAAACACTACACATAAAATCATATTTCTGTTTTTGTTTTGTCCCCCACAAGAATCACACAATGACCAACATTAGGTGGAATAAGAAGAATCAGTCACGGTAGAATTTCTGCAACGCAGAATTTCAGAACCTCATTCACAAACGTGTTCTAGCCAAATTATCATGTATACATCCACCAGAACCACAGCTGTCAGCAATGAAATGCAAAATCTTGTGTTCATGTAAGATGCAGAGTCAAAGGACATGTTGTGCAGATTCCCCACATTCTTAGCATTGTAAAAAAATTAATGCACAGTACAAGCCAATTCTGCTTTGTCAAGATGTTTTTGTGCAGTCACTTGTTTCAGTGTTATCTGTCTCTTCAAATTCGATCACAACTTTTCTGATTTTTCTGACATGTATCCAGTTTAGGGTGATTAAAATGAATTATATTCATTTGTGAAAATAAAACAGAAACAATGAAATAATACAGACTCTTACAAGGCTGTCTTCTGGGCTGTAGTCTTGTAGAAATTTACCAGGTCCTTGCTACCTCTATCATCATGGCAATCAGTAAGCCTTGTGGCTACATGGCGCTACAGCTCAGAAGACAGCCATCTTTGTACTCACAGCCGTCAGAAACTCAAATCCTACTTAACACAGGCTCTTGCATTCTGTACCAATGCATCCAGATATAACACACAAAATGTTCTTTCTGTAAAGACAGGAAACATACGCTTGGGTTCAGCTACAGTTATATGCACACTGATACTTGTATGAACACAGTTATTCAACAAAATAGCATACTAATATTTTCTTCCACCTTCTTTGGTGTGCTGTGCTTATTTTCCCCTACCATGTAATTGTGGTAAGCCATGCTGCTCAATTTACTAACAATTGTATCGCAGCCTTCCAATGGTTATACTAAAAACAACTAAAGCCTGTTTACAAGTACTAATTTCACCATCTCTTGTGATCATTCTACAGAATGCTTTTCCTCTTTATTTTATTGATTTGTGTTTGTACAATGTATCTTAGGTTTACTGACACTGATACAAGTGGAACTGCAGAGCCATTGTGATGTGAAATCACATAATGAGTAAAATGCATCTCTGATTTCCTTTACTTCTTCCTATTTTACATTATTCACAGGTTATGTCCGGTGCCGGGCTTTGGTGTTGGACTTGGGAGTTCTGCTATGAGGGAGTTGGTAATTTTACATTATTCAAGCATTTTCCAGCATAACTATATGCAGGTCCTTTACTACCTTATCAGAAGCAGTTTATACACCTTCAGATAATTTCAGAAATTTAAGGAAAGCACACTTAAAACATTTAATGTTATTTCAATGAACATTACCAGAACTGACATCAAATTTGAAACGTATATTCCTTTCCATTCTGACAGTCATCTTTCTGATGTGAAAACTTTCATCCAATATATCCATGTTAGTCCTGTGTGGGATATAAAGTTCTTGCACATAAATATTGTTTGTAACCAACAATATATCCTTCTCACAGCACCTATGCACAGACTCTGGTATCTCCTTCTCAAATCAAGATTTGCTATAAGACAGATATGCAGCTGTACGATTCACAGAAAGAGGATGAATATACTTGTATCAAGTGCCATGGGACAGGTACTTTACCAACAGTGTGCAAGTAATTATTTGTAGTTTCATATATGGAAAAGTTTTTAAAAAATTTCATCACACTTCTTATGGTCTGAAAGGAGAATAAATTATCTTTCTTTTAACAAAAAAATTATGCTCAAGTTTTGTACGAGTATTCTTTGACTGCTTTTTTTTCTTCTTTGCATTCTGAGGATCACTGTATGGCAGCACTCAGAGTAAATGAATACAATGCTTCCATCTGTCAAAATAATTTAAAAACTGTAAAATCTCAATATAATGAAATTTTGTGGCCTGACAAAATTTATATTTGTAATAATAAAATTTCCTCAGAATGAAAGACAACAAAATGAAATTAATTATGTATGATAGTTTGTTTTATTTTTACAAAGAGCAATGCATTTTTGTAGAATAAGTGGCAAATGATGTGTTTATAATAATATTCACAGTATAAAAACAATTGTTCATTCTACTATTATAACATTAACTAGAACGATTCACTCAACAAAAATCTCGGGTGATCACCCCCCGAGAAGATTTTATTGAGTTATGTCGCAGCGCAAGCTTCATATCAGAAAGAATGATTCATATAATATTTATGTAAATTATAATTTACTGGCTGTGTCAAAGGTTATGTGTTGTCCAGCTGGTGGTTGTTTAGCAATAGCATACTGATAAACCGTTGAAAGCCAAAATACAGGGGTTTGAATCCCTTACTTCCAAGCAGCAAAGGCATTCTTTCCACAAATGCACATACTCAGATATTTTCATGAAATTTCATGTGGACATGATGCCATTGACGGATGCCACATTTTAATTTATCATTTTATATCACAACCACTAACAATTGGAGCTGCTTGCCCATCAATTTGTTCATTGTCTTACATGACACTTTTGTGATCAGAACCTTGACTATCACCAATTTCATTATCAGTCACATGATTCCACTTCTGAAAAATTTTCATCTACACAATCATAAACTGACACAATACAGTCATTACTCATCACTTTATTCTGCTCCATACTAGGGGAATTAAAAAAAGTTGAAACATTTCTATGATCAGCTTCGCTCCTGGCAAAGATTGTCAACAGAATATTTTCATCTTATAGTTCACTAAACTGATGCCTAAACTAAAGTATAAGTAGAGATCTGTAAGCTTGTGGCATCTACTATATGTTTAACAAACCATCTGAAAGAAACAGTGGTCACTTTGAATTCTGAAACACTGCATACATTGCAGGTATAGGGTATGCTGAAGAAATGTTAACACATTCTAAATAACACTTTAAAATTATTGTTCAAATAAGGCCAGAAATGTACTGCATTACACCAGTAGTTGTTAAATGTTTCTCCGTAAGAGTATATGGTACTTTGGTATGAGATAAACAATATTTTCATTATACTGGCGTTTGCTATACTGAGATTATTTTGTAAATGTTATGAGGTTCAGAGAAAATATCAAAAAAAAGGTGGTGTTAAATTAAGGTTGACTGACAATATTTTTTATACATTTTAAAGAAAAGATGCTAGTACAGCATAGCAATTCATACCACACACAAGCAATGGGAGAGATCATGAAGTTCGTAATGATGAAAGAATCAATTACCTTCTTGACTGACACAGTTTACAAATGCTTTGAGGGATTCATTTACACAACACCTGCACTGTGCTTCCATCTCATGTGACTTATTATTCATACTGTTTAAAAATGTGCATGCAGTTAAAAAATCAAAACATTGTTGATCATCGGGGACTGTGTTTCTGTATCCCTCCATGCATGTAGGAGAGTGGCCACACCCAACCAGTTCAAAGGTTTATATTCCGAACTGTGAGGATTTTAGAGAGACTCATCTGCAGAAATATTCAGGTGAGGAAAGTAAAGAATTTTAGATTTGGAAATTAAATGATAAAGAATAGGCTAAATTTTGAACAGTTCTGGGAACCCTTTATTCTCAGATTTGGTGCAGTTGTCTGTGAAATGTAAAAACCTAGATACTGGTTTGAATTGGTACAGAGAAATTACAGAACCAAATATGGCTATCAGTTGCATGAAAAGTATATCCTGAGGCTTTATGTTTTTAATAATGCCTATTAGACTGAACAGTATTTGAATAAAATATATTTCATCCTCCTTACAGGTTTACACTCATTCTCTTAAAAAATAAGTTTTCTTTGGAATTTTCATAATGCTGGGCAAAACGGTCTGTTTCTGTTACAATCTGTCCAACAGACTTGTTCCTTAAATAAGTTAAAGAAGTCAAATACTTTAGTCACATGCTAGGCATTATCTTGTGGTGAACATGCTTCTGAGTTTTCCCATGAACCTATATCTGTGCTAACAATTTCATCATCCTGATCAATAATAAGTACATTAACTTTCTCACTATCAGTACTTTCATCTGAATTCACCACATCATAGTCTGAATCTGTAACATCTTCGGCACCGAGTAATGCAACTGTTTCTCTGAGCTCGGGAACCTATGCCTTGGAAACGATGCTACCATCTGACAAAAAAGACACTGACAAATTGAATAAACATTAATGAAACAACTGCTGTTGGGTTGAAATTATCAAAACTGTTGCTTCATAACAGATGCACAATCAGGATGGGCAACTTTTCCAGTTCTTAAAGTTGCAGAAGACTAATTGTGCAGGTACTCTAGAAATTCAACAGCAAGAATATACCAATGCAAGAAAGGAACAGAAACTAAGGAAAGGTGAACTTATCATGTAATACAGTTAACTTGTGTCTGTCATCAACTGGAGTGATAAGAAGAATGTATCAATGATATCTACATTCCACTGCGACCCAGAAGAACATGAGCCAACATTATCAGCTATAAGAAACACAAGGGAAGCAGTGGTAACAAGGACCAGCTATTAGAAATGTAGCACAAAGAAAGAAAGAAAGAAAAAGAATAAGTTGTACGAGGTGCGATCGGAAAGTTTCAAGACTGCGCCTATAAAAACCCGTACACTTATCTCAGGTATTAAATTCATCCATCACCCTCGAAGTAGTTCCCCTGGGAGTGAACACAACGATCCCAGCGCCGCTGCCAAGCCTGGAAGCATCCCTGGAAATCTTTCTTTGTCAGCCTGTCAAGCACCATCTGCGATTCTGCCTGAATCTCTTCTATCGTCTCAAATCTCCTTCCCTTTAGCTGAATTTTCATCTTTGGGAAGAGGAAGAAGTCACACGGAGCTTAGAAAGGAAGTTGGGGTCGGTTCTTGCAAGATCTTTGAGCTCCTGACAAACGAGAAGTCGATTCTGCTTCTGGTCCTCAGACAGGATGCGTCGCATGTGGAGTTCTTCCTTTAGAATCAGCTGACAGGTCCCAACAATGTCGCACAAGTCGTTATGGTACGACGTCGATCTTCGTGAATGGCCTGCCGAATCTTGGTAACATTTTCGGGCGTTGTGCTCGAAGATGGTCGTCCAGAACGCTCGTCATCATCGACAGGGGTTCGGCCATTTTTAAAACGTGAATGCCACACAAAAGTTTGCGGACTCCCCAAATGTTTGCTTTAGCATTTCATAGGTTTCCGTAGCGGTTTTGGCGAGTCTTTGGCAAAATTTGATGCCCACGCCATTCCGAAATCGCAGGAGGGTCGGTGTAATGCACTACCAAAACGCCCGTAACTAAGAAACAAATGCTAATTCGATGATGCCGGCTGGCACACTGATTCACTATGAATGTAGGCCGCACCCCCTAGCGGCAGAAGCTCGTACTACATCCGGTTCGCCCTCTATTGACACAGTCTGGAAACTTTCCGATCGCACCTCGTATATAAGTCTTCCAGAGACCACTAAATGTAACAGTGTAGAATACAAAGAAAATATAAACAGAAAGGTGGATCATCTGATAATTAGAGTTGATTTATTGAAGGGCTCATTAATAAAGTGCTGTAATGAGCTTAAGTAACAATCTAAAATAAGCATAAGTGACAAGCCCCCATGAAAACAACAACACAGTATGGAGGCTGACACAGTGACATTTCCTCAGAATACCTCAAACAGAAAAGTCACCACAAAAAGAGAGAGAGAGAGAGAGAGAGAGAAAAGGGAGGTGTTGTGAGCATCAAACACGGGGAATACAAAAAGCAGTTTACCAGTGTGCCTGTTATGAAGAGGCTGTGTGTGCAGACAAGTGTTCTAAGGTATCATAAAAATTATCTAATTGCAATTTATAATTTCTTATGCTTTTACTAACATAAATAGTAAATACACATTTTGTTCCCCTATGCAGTACAAACATTCTGCACATATTCACTGGAATACAATTAAAATTTAATTAAAATCTAATAAATGTACTGAATCTGTTGCCATTTAAAAGGCTTGTTACTAAATGCCTCCATGCTCAGGAGTTAATAAAATTACATTTTCTGATTCTGAGTTTTATAAGGTTAATTCATGGAGCTGCAGATTTTTCACTGATATCTAAAATGTTTGTATGTGTGAGATTGCTATCAATTTATTTTCAGTAACATTTAACAAACATGTTGAAACTATTCAAATTTAACCTCAAATGGAAACTAGATCTCATGCAGCACTGCTGTAAAAGGATCTATCTTAATAATTACCTTACCATAAGCATCCCAAAGTCAGGTGCATGGCCAGTCATTCCAAACACTGTGGTTTTCAGATAACGTTCATGGCCTGCAAGGTCAATAAATGTTATAACTTTGGATGATTTCTCACAGATTTTCACCCAGTCTA